AGTAAAAATCTTTTTCGGACATTCAATCTCTGAACAACTTTTTGGGTCGCATGGATGCTCACGGTTACGACTGCCTCCAGTATTTGTGTTCTTCTCCTTACTATGGCTAATTATTATTGGAGTTTTCATGCTTAACTGCTAATGTTGACATGAGAGCTCATTACGTATATCAAGCATCAGGTTAAAGACACAAAGAAATGGTCTGAGATATAAGATTAATTACTAATTTCATACAGAAAGCATAATTTATTATCTTATTCCTCCATGTTGCTTACAACTGTAAAAGTAAATTTCGTTTGCTCATTAACTACATTTTATAATTATGCAGATATACACTCAACCTCCTAAAGCGTTTCATCTCTTTGGCCTTTGTAGATCATTCATGTCTTATGGGCGTTACGGGCAGAAGTGGATTTCGCAACTGCATTGCATATGAAAGCTGTCAGGCGACGAAGCTTGCTCGTTGTACTAATCACCAAGGTCATATTATTTGTTTTTCAGATCAGTATATTAATTAGCCAAATATCTTGAACTGCACTGAGATTATCGTCTTTGCCATACTAAGCACTGTTTAGAATAAGAAAGTCGAGGACAATGTAGAATAGCAAAGGCGAAAGCACAAGTCCGTGGCAAACTCCACAATTAATAGAAAACCACTAAGATAGTTCTCGATTTTCAGGTATGACTTCCAAAATGGAAACAATGTGATCAGGAATCCCAGAGCGTTTCAAAAGTTTCAACATCGCTCGATGATGAACTGAAAGAAATGTAGCCTTAAATTCAAGGAAAGTGATGAATCACGGCAACTGGAATAATCGGCGTTGTATGGAAATACAACAGAGAAAATATAACAACGTGCATTCTATCTACTCAGGATCTAAAAGGTGTTAAGGCGTTATAAACGTTAAGAAGGTCGAATAACAAGGCAATGATAACCAAGGAATAAACTATAGTTTAATGCCTTATAGCAAATCTATTAAACGAGGTTTAAATTCTGCCGAAGAAATTTCAAAGAAACTAAGAGGAAACAACACGACGTTTTAAAGCATGATAAAAAGACCGCGAAGTTTGTTTTTAACCATCCATCAGATGGAGAGACAAAAACCTAGGGTAACATAGGTCGCTGCTGGTGTCCAAAGAAAATTTATCCACATAAATCCATTTGAAAACACTAAGTGCAAGTGAATTCACAATTTCCAATTCGTCTGTTAGCATTCTATTTCCGTTTATTGGTTTATCTTCACAGTCCAGTATTCACTTCCAGTAGGCAAAAGAAGAACAGCCTAAAGAAATTTCTCGACTGTCCTTGCCTTCCACAAATCGGACGAGTTAAAGGTAGATTTCACGGCGACGAGACAACGCTAGATATAAAAAATATCAAATAATATATCTATCTGCATACATGCTGATTTGCCAAGACAGTGAACTTGAACAGCCCTTTCCATGATATCTTCATCTTCATCTTCAGAAACCAAAACCACATTCACCTTATTAGTATCCAGGATCGTAAATTCTTCGTCAATATCCAGCACTAATGGTTACCGATGCGATGAGGATTAAGAGAACTGAAAGCTTCGCATCGCCATATGGCTCGTTATAAATGTCAAATAACGGGTCATTTCTGCAATACCGCGCCTTTCAGCCACTTAGGTCATGTACCGCTTCTTATGTACATCAACACATGTACAGTATATATCTTCATCAGTATGAATGCCTGAAATTGCTCACTCCGTAGAAAGTCACATTCAGAACCGAAAGGTCGCCGATCTGAGATTATGTGCAATTATTGGCATTCTTTCCTTCCACTGTTGATAACAGTAGCAGCGTACATCTATGGGAAGGAAATAAGAGACTAAACACTATGCTTGTCACGCAGCTGTTGATAATTCTGCGTTTAAAACCAAACAGCCTCTCGATGACATGGAAATGGAGATGAGCACCTCTACCATTAATTTCAAAAAAAAAATTATAAAAACAAGGACAACCGACAATCCAGAGGATACAAACTTTCCACTTATGTATTTCATAAGCAGAGTAGTTAACAGGCTTTGAATACAAAGTTATACTATTTAGAATTTGTCTGATGTCTCGTCAAACACCACACTGCATCCAATTTCATCATAAGTGCCATGTCGTACCAATAGTCTGAAAATACGTATCAAACTATTCATACAAAAACATTGCTGGCAGTTAAATCAATATTCAAACATTTCGTTTAAAGAGTCATAATCATCTCAAGCCTTATTTAAATCAATACCTAACTTAAGTTTTTACTTAAGTTTTGACATCGAATAAAGTTATGGCGGATGAAAATACAAGTTCACTGACAGGCTAGCAAGCACTTACCGCAATCTGCAAAGCATCAAGTGCCTCTTGGAAGACACTGCTGCCTTTATAATATCGAGATACCATGAAATCCAATGAATCAGCGATTTCGTTTTCGATCTAAATCGTCTAGTCTCAATGAACTAATGAGAAAAAACGAGTATTTTTTACCGCATCTCGTTTGACCACCAGCAGTATTCCAAACGAAAACTGCACCAGAAACAAACATAACAGTCCGAGAAAGTACTAAAGGTCAAAAAATATAAAAATATCCACATTCGATATATTCCTTCATACCGAAAATAGTAAACATCGATTAAGCTTGATTGAACCGCAACATCCAAAAAAACTAACAACTATCATCATTATAGCAATAGTGATTATCAAATAGGTTCCAATGTAAAGGGTGCCATAGTCAGAAGCCGCATTCTGATACCTCTCGCTTAGGTACTCACGAAATCTGTAGTCGATTTTGAGAAATATGCCCAAAGCCAGAAGGCCGAAGCCAACTATCTAAAATAATAGTCGAATTAAAAAATTCAAAAGCAGCACATACCGAGGATATGATATTCGTTGCATAAATTATGTATCTGAACAGATAAAGTCTGTTTCTA